GGTCCATCTCTCGCCATTTTTTCACTTTTGGGCTTTTTATGTATAATCAGATAAACCTTGGTTGTACGGCAGTGAAGCATCAGTGCTAACACTGGTACTGCTGTATCAAAGGAGTATGTTGCTCGTGCTCACTACCCATCGTCTTTTGAGCAGAGAACATCAACCCACAATTGCTGCAATTCGGCGTTCGATCAGCAGGCCGATTGTCAAAGCCCAGAAAGAACAGTTCGGTCTATTTCCCCATCACTAGAACAACCGTTATACGCTGACCACCACCAGTAGGGCTGCCTGCGGAAGAGTAAGTCACGAAAAATCCCAGCCTCGGAAAAAACTGACCCATGACAAATCAATACCTCTTTGGAGGGGCTGTTAGCTACCCGTAGCTACCCGGTCACCCACACACTTGACTGCTCAGCTCACACTCGCAAACGACATCACATCAAGGTGACTCATCAGACGTCGATTGTCTGCACCGTCTAATGAACGTAGCAAATACTCATGTGCTGACGCGCCCACATACACGCAAACGGACCTACATATAGGGAAACCGAACACAGTCAGCACACAGACTCGCGCGCGTGCAGGGAGCAAGGAGTCAGCCAAACACTCCAAGTCCACGGACAATTATGGAATACGTGTAGCAGCCAAACTGCGGAGAAAACACGTTCCCGCCGTCCGGACTTTCACCAAGGGACTCTCACATACGATAAGTTCCATTTTGAGTTGCTCCTTTATTTTATACATGCCGCAAATCGCTTCTGTAAACTACTGTCAATCACAGTAAAAACTTTTATCAGTGCATACACCTTCTGATTTGTATTATGGCTATCATCAATAGTGCACTTACAGGGCGCGGCCTATTCCACCTGCTTCAGTGTGTGTGAGAGGACAGAAGGGGACGCGTACAACGAAGGGCATCCACACAGAGGTCATGTAACTGAGCAGAGGAAACGGAGATAGATTTATGTATGAGAATAGCCATAGATTGGTATCCGGTGTCCGGAGTTTCTCTGCTCATGTTATGACTCTCACATATAGCACCTATAGATTGTAGATCCATCGATGGTAGCACGCACTTGATGAAGAAGGATGAAGGATAACTAAGAAAAAAATCGCTCAGCTGTGGCACCTTTCAGTGAGTAACCGCCATGCCATCAGAAGGAAGCACGAGGGATGGAATACTGCCAGGTTGCCCAAGCCTAGACAAGAGAAGTCGAGAGGTAGATGTGGGGTTCGAACCACGGACATTCCGGCCATCTCGCCCCGAAGCGCAAGCCGCGCTAGAAAAAGAGTGAAACAGTTCAAACGAACAGCGCTTGGTAACCTAGGATGGAAGAGGATATTTTTAGATGGCAATCAAAACAGCGATGTTCGTTTGGAGGCGGTCCCATAAGCATTTTTCCCGGAAGTCAGCGATCATGGGACTGCACTCGGATTCACCTGCACCGGCATGACTTCAGTTCGAACTTAACCAATCCACCTTCTAGGTGTACAAATGGCTGAAGCATCTGGAATTGAACTCGCTTCAAAGGATTAAGGTCTCGACGAAAGCTCGAAATTACCTAGCGAAACGAGTGGCACAAATGAAACGCGTGTAACACCAGGGTGTAGCGGCTTTGCATGACCCACCTAAGTGGAGTCAGGTGCATTTAGATTGTATGCCGCAAATAATAATCAATAGTAACCGTCCAGCTGTGACACCCTTTTGGTGACTAGATGCCATGCCACCAGAAGGAAGCACGGGAGCTGGAATACTGCCTGGTTGCCCAAGTCTAGGCAGAAGCCAGAAAGAAGGAAGCACGGGAGCTGGAATACTGCCTGGTTGCCCAAGTCTAGACAGAAATCACAATGCAGAAGTCAGATTCGAACCACGGACCTTCCGGGCAGAAAATTTGCGCGCTAACCACTACGCTATTTGGAGTAGACTGCGGCCTCATGTCCTTTTTTCGGAACTACTTTGGTACCCTTTGCGAGCAGAGTGATAGGGTACAAACTAGTAGCTGACGAAACCATGTTATGAAATAGCAATCCGGTTATCTGGAAAATACTTCAAGAGTGACCGAAAGGTTTTGTCGTGTCGTCTTGAGAATGCACTGCAGACGACAAAACAGAAAACTTCAAGCGCAAGAAACATATATATATATATATATATATATATATATATATGCAAGTACAAGCATANTATACGAGTAAAAAGAGCAAAATGCATCTGACAAAAACTGCATCATAGTCGTCTTTGTGCCGATCGTCTGGCAACTTCCATGAGTGTCACAACCGGGAAGTTTATTGTTGTCTGTTTGTCGTGTCTCCTTACGCACCAGCTGACTAGCTATGGCACCATAAAAGACAAGTTTTATGACCCCCTGAATGCCCTTTTGCAGCCAGCTAGTCACCATCAACATCATCACCATCGACAGCATGACAGCAGTGTTCAACACCGATGCTTCACTGCGGCCAGCTAGAAGCTCAGATATAGCGGTTGTGCCCGGATATCTGAATGCACAAGTGGGAATAAGTGCACTCGAGACTCGATTAGGTGGTCGACATGCAGTAGACTCGGCTCGTACAGACAATGGTGAACAGTTGTTTCAGCTACGTGCTGACCGCGGGCTATTTTTATGCAGTACTAACTTTCGAAATAACCGAAGTCCTCTGACCACATGGTGTCTTCCAACAACGTGCCAACTACAAACCCAAATAGATCACATCACCGTCAGTTAACAATGGTACGGATCAATAACTGACTGCTGCTGGTTATTGGAACACATAAGAATTCGGACAACGCGCTAATCCCATCCATTTTCCAGGGCCGCGTAAGGTGCAAACAAGTCATTTAGTAGCTGTGAGACTGGTATATCCGGAAGTTATCGTTCTCTGGAGTCTCTTCCCATTTCCAACAGATGTGAATTCATACTAAAACGAGATGCCACATATTTTCAGTGTTGGAAGTCTTGCCTGTGTAACGGCGCCACCAGGCCTACTCAAGCACTGGAAATCTGACAGTATACTGGCACTGCTTGAATCTCGGAGTATTGTTCCTGCCGTCCGCGAAAATAATCTGGCCCGACAATTATCAAAAGTCAAGTGAATCTGAGCGTGTGCGCCGACTATGAAGCCAGTAAGCCGATAATGCTCGAAAATTATTTCAGGTGATTCGTGCGACCGCCCTCTGGAAACCGCATGTGAGCGAAACCGTAAGGGATAAAAGTGGCGCGACTATCTTGAACAAAGGACGCCTCGACGGCTGGGTCAAATACTCCGAACAAAAATGCCACTCTTGAATTCTACAACTGAAGTAGAACACTGGACGGTGAACCTGGAACCCACTGCGGCATCCGAGGTTTATGACTGCATACGTTCTCTCGAACGCCACCGAGCTCATGGTCCAGATGGCCTTCCATTCACATTGTTCAAAGATGGAAGTGAAGTCCCCAGGTAGCGCTTGTCCGGTGCTTGCCTGCATCCGGGAAAACGAGACTGCCTGAGACAAGTAAGAAGAATCAGTGATAGCGCCCACTTAGGCAAAAAGGGGCTCGTAGTGAGTGCGGTAATCACAGATGGATCAGCCTGATCCCGGTTGTCACTGTTCCTTCATCGCCCTATGGTCGCTAGCGAAACACTGACCTGAGAGCATCAAGAGGGATTCCAGCCTGGTGGGAGTTGCTTTGACCAAATCTCCAACTCCGTCAGGTGTTAGAACAATTCCATACATAAAAAATGCCCACAATTTTAGTATTCTTGGGTTTGCAGGGTGCATTCGATTTGGTTGCCTGGTACTTTCTTCTTGACACGCTAGCCCATCAAGGAATAACCCGGAAATTTGTGTACGTAAAAAGTTCTTTGCATTGTCAGATTTCCAAGCAGGTGGGAGGACGGAGGGAGTTCATGAAATTGTTTGATGCAGAGAGCTGTCAGTCGAGGATGACCAACACATCTATTCTAATCTAATTTCTTGATTGGTGGGATAATAAGTCGAAAGCTGCTAGGTCTTCAAAGCGTTAGCGTCCAAACAGCTGCCCACGAAAACATTACTGGTCTGGATTTTGCGGACGTAGCTTTTCTGATATAAGGAAAACAAGCCATATGTTTTGGGATGATTTGCAAAGTGCATTCCAGTTCTTTGGCATGAGTTTTGCACCGACAAGCTGTATGGTTGAAATTCTGGACATACATACATACATACATACATACTGAACACGCAACGTACAATCCAGGGAGAGGCACTGGAAGTTGGAGAGCGTTTAACGTGTCTTAGAAGTTGTATTAGTCCCGATTGTAATGTGACAGATGAGGTCGGTTCACGTCTCTGCAAGTCTCAGATCACGTCTGCTTATTTGAGACATCGATGTACTCAAAGCGATATAACCCTGAATCTCAAAGGAAGCATGCATCGGGTTATAGCAGGGGCTGTTTGTTGTAAGGCTGTGAGAATCCGACTGTTCAACCAGCGGAACTGAGACGTCTTTAAGTCTTCGACAACCGTGTGGGTTGATGTCGAATCAACTAGAGAGTACGAGGACTCTCATCGGAGCATGTGTTCAACCCCGGAAAGTGTGTTGATTGGGCCATGTTTTGCGCACGTTGAACTACTGTTTGCTAAAGAACGTTTTCCGTACCCAATCGGGGTGGCGGAAGCAGAGCGGGGGGGGGGACTTTTATCAGGCGGAAAGAATGCTGCAAGAGTGTAACGTCATTGCACAGATTTAGCGAAATCGGTGTTCTTAAATTTCAGATAATCATGGGTTTAAAACAAAATTCGGGTAGCTGAGAAAATCCTTTTTAAGTAAATCATTACATCAGGAAACATGATTGCTCGAAATCGGAAAGATATGTGGTTGAAAGACTGCCGTATGGAAACCTTGTGTTAACACACTACCATAAACAGGTTCATTCAGTTAAGCAGACAAAACATGATTTGCTGAAAATGTTAAAATGTTAAAATTGCTCCTGACTGCCACCAATGAAAGGATGTAAATTTAATTTAAATAGATATAACTCACAGCGTGCTTGACGACCGAACTGGTGGCGCCGGTGCGAAATCAGAAATATTGGAATCACTCAGTAAAAAGGTAGCCGACGGTGGTGAAAGATTATTCACATTAGTGCCCGCCATGAGTACAGCTCCAGAATTATCCAGACTTATATCCGGTGACACGCCGTGTGCAGGTAAGGGAGGTGGCCCCTCTTGGTGTTTAACATGGCTAAGTTTCGCAAAATCAACTGATTCATCCATTTCAACATAAATAAATCCATCGCTCGCCCAGAGTAATCGTCATTGTAACCTTCCCGCCACAAGTCACACTTGATTGACCCGCAGGCCAAAGACGAGTAGGTGATTGGCTCAAAATTGTCATTTGACAAGGTCATTACAGGTCCCAGTCTTATTGTCGGTGAAGATGTGTGCCTCACCATGTGCGGCCCAGAGCAAAATGGAATTAGGGTTCAGGAACTGAGTGGTGAGCTCAACTTTATGCGCGTGTAGTACACAGCCAGCTGTGCACATAACATGCAGTGAAACCAATAGTGCTGGATGACGGAGACGTAATTTTTATTCATACTCAGTGTGGCTAATGGATTCACTCAATGAGAAGAAATAGGCGTGGTTGGATGCTATGGATCGTCGTGAAGCGAACTGACAGACTCATTGGATTCAAGAAGATGGTCTAAACTCGAAGGATCATGGACGACAGGAAATTTCTGCTTGGCTGTGACGTTAAGCGCCATGGAATGAGGCCTCAGCCGAGAGGGGATGTAGCCTAAGATTGTAAGACAGCGTTGACAACTCGCCCTGAGAGTAGCTTTGGGTGCAAATGTGGCTGCATATATGACACTCATACAAACTTTGGTACTCAAGAAGAAGTAGTTTGTGGTTCAATGGCCTGTCTAGGTTGGGCAGTGTGTGAAGGGTGAGCATCGCTTTCGTAGCCTCCAAATGGACATATTCAGCATACTCACATCATACTAAGGCCAGGGAAGCCAGATAAGACAAGTAATCCAGAAGCTGTCAGATGAAAATAATGGAGGAGAAACGGTCATCTTTTTATGTACAATGGAGGGAACCGACCAAACTGGTGGCTTGTTTTCGAGGAAGAAATTTGGGTGCAATCCACGTAGGGATCCAAGGTATCTCCAATTATGTCACGTGAATTATAGTAAAAGGCCTTCCAGGGCTTGAAGCTGCCATACACCGCTCACTTGCTTTTAGAGGCGGTGGTGATACCACCAAAGACGCAAAACAAGCTAGTAGTGCAGACACGGCAGTGTAGAAAACTATGTCGGGATAGGGGCAGCAGGTAAATGAAAGTAGGAACGGTTGGATTAGACCGATTGGCGATTTCATCTATGGGCTGATTGAGCACTTGGACCAATGAGGTCCGAATTCGCTAGGACCATGCCGGCTATCACCCCGATTTTGGGTTGTGTATTTGCTTGTTGTCAGGGCGAAGAAAAATGAGAAAAGGGTTGGTTTCTGAAGGCCAGTGACGAGCGTGTATCAGCGTGAAATCTCTTGATGAAGGAAGCAAGGTACAGAGAGGTCAATAAGTTTTGGTAGAAGATATCACAAATGGGTTGTTTTTGTGGAGAGAAAGAAGTCCTTCCAGTCCCGGGAGGCCAGCAAGAATGAAAAAGCCAGCAAAATATCCGGAGACCAACTGTGGTCGTAGCAAGGTGAGCCTCATTTGAAAATATCAGGTCGAAGATATGTTGGCCACGAGTGAGGCTATGCACAATCTGGGACCAACCTCGTGCACAAAGTTGGGCAAACAGCGAGACGTAGCGGGTGAAGCCCAAAATAGGGGAACAGGAAATATCCGGTAGGTTGAAGTCACCCAGTACGAATTCAGGTGAATGAGGAAGGGCATGTGCAGTTATAGAGGCGGGAAATGGGGTCGGTGGTGCATAGATACAACTTACCGGAACAGATGGTTTTGGTCTGTTCTACGGAGATCCAGATGGCCTCTGGAATCCCTTCTAGACTGGAATCACCAATGGGGGTCTCACGAAGTTCCGATTTGGAATAGAGGGCATTGCATTCATCCCCTGAGTTCCGCCTTTCAGAGCAATGGATATTATGACTAGGGGTTTAAACAGCCGTGTTCGGAGTTTTAATTAAGAGCGATGCTTCAATCACACAAATCAGGCTTGGTTAGGCGACGACAACAATGGCACAGAGAGTATGGATTTTTGGCAGCAGTGAGCGAGCGTTTAACAGCATCAGTGATGGGTCCATTGGTGAGCACACCATACCGATTAGGAGCTTACTAACCTCGTTTACGGTGGAGTTCGTTACTGGGAGGAACCGGATGGAGAAGATAAGTGTACATGAAAGAGAGTGGACTAGGCGTGTGTTCGGAATAGGTTGAGGTATATTCACCACTGGGGATGAAGTGGTGAGGGGTGGGTGTAGTAGGTTTGAATCCATGGCAGAAGGTAGACTATGAGGTTCATTATGCGGTAGGGAATATCTCTGGAAGGCTGGTGTTCAGCTCGAAGCGTTTGGGAGTTGGGACGTGTCTTGGGACATGAATTTGTTTGCACCGGCAGAAGGCGTGAGAGTGATATGGTACAGAAAGAGGCGGTGGCTGTGGAGGGGTGAGTGGGTGGCACCCGAAAACGGCCCACGGTTGGAACGGAAGTGGGTAAGCAGGTTGGTGGAAGCACATAAGTGTCTAAGCTGGCCGCCGGTATTTGCGGATGTGAGGTTTCACCAGACTTGCGGTACGTGTGGTCTGATTTACCTGTCATTAAATTGTGGGGAGGCACGAGCAAAGTCCACTTATATTGTGAAGAACAAGAACAGATTATCGACGGCGTACTTGAGGTGCCCTACGTATCGCGTCCTTGACAATAAACATTTGAGTCCAAGAGCGTATTTTGGCGGAGGTGCAATACGAAGGGACAGCAGGTCAGAGGGTCTGTGACAAGAATGAGTGCTGTCAACGTCTGGTGTTGTCACTACTCTGGCTAGGAGACGTGCCACGCCAGTTGTATCAGCACCAGGAGAGTGTTCTACTGGGCGAATTTGAGAATATGTAGTTTTCGCTGGTGGTGAAGCAGAAAGTCCATTTGCAGTAGCGATGATAAACTCAGGGTCTTGGAAGGCTAAGAAACAAGAGACTTCCGAATAGTTTGGTGTCAGCTGAGTGCTGGAGGCAAACATAGAGCAATGAGAGTTTAAGAGCTCCACGATAGGCGTCAAAGTAAGTACTGGGAGCTGCTGGGGCAGCAGGCTCAGGTAACTTTTTGGCAAGCTGCATTTCCATTCGAGTAAGGACAGCTTTCATTTTTATGGTTTGGAATTTTTCGGTTGATGCGAGAATAGCCTCGGGTGTTGGAGCCTCGTGCATCCTTTCCATCCCGGAATTGCAGTATCATTCGGCAGCACATGGATAGTTTCAGCTGTCGAGCTGCCGAGCTTTGCACATGGTGTCCACGCCAGTTTTGGTGTGCTCAAGCGGAATTTAATCAGGTGTGTTTAGTATTTGGACCTAATGCTGGTATTGGATGCGTTGACAGATCTTAGAAGCAAGCGTGTCAATAAGAATTAACGCTCTTTATAGGTTGGTTGGGTCGCATGTTGCGTCGGGGTTTGAGAAACATGCAATCGGGCGTGTGGTTGAGGGAAGGATATTTCATTTTCTATCTTGTGCAGACATGTTCCAAGATTTTTCAGTTCCTTCAGGACCTGAGATCCTATCGGAAACTGTGAGAGAAGAGTGTTGCCAGGTTGAGGAAGCAAAGATATATCAGTTGGTACTGCTGAACAGTCTGAGTGTAATGACTGTTTCGAATTTTTGAGCAACGAGCACCAAGGTTAGCAACCAAACCGGAAAAACTCCGAACGAACTGCTACGCAAATGTGTTGTACTATAAAAATGGAAGTAATTACACGGAATACCAAATTGCAAACCTCAACGGTACATCAAAAGCCAAGTAAAGGGGATGCGGATCAACAGCCAACGCGGGATCGAAAGCGGGCCGCATGTCGTGCTTGAAAACAAATTTACAATTGACCAAGATTTTGGTAAAAAAAATAGTGTAACCGAAGCAGTAAAAAGGATTTGCGCGGTAAGGAAAACATGAAACATAAATGTCATGTGAAACTAAAGGTGGTATTCAACTACACTGGTCCAAAAAGTGGTGGTTCATTTGAATTGTCGACCGGGAAGGCAGTCATTCAAGATGGGAGGCAATTTTAAATATATACGAAAATGCAACACTGATGTTGCTTGGAGTACCGTTTTCGCCGGTTTTGAAAGGTTTGGATGTCGAGAGCTAGGTCTTCCGTCTGTAAACCTCTCCTTTGAACATGCTGGGGAGATAGATTATGGGGACTCGGTGTCTAGCAACCGCTTTTAAATGGAAGACGAGGGCGGTGTAATAATGAGATACTCAGGAGCAGGTTGAGGATTGATTGACTTGGGGGAAAACGGTTGAGAACTCCAGGCTAGTAGAAAAATCTAGATTGTCTTGCGAGAGTCACAGTCAGTCTTAGCCACCTAATTGAGCTGGTGGTTTGGATAGGACTGTGGAAGCTCGGGACAGTGACGGCACGTCGTCAGGGAGGGTTATGTAGAGGATGACTAAACGTACTCGACGAACTGGGAACTAATGCTGATTAGGCTTACTGTAAAAAGGAGACCTGGTGGCCTTCGTGCTCACAGCTGTTTGAAAGACCACCGTAAAAATAATTATCTAATATAAAAATGATTAGTATACCTATTGATGGGTTAGAATCCACAGAAATTTTCTTCAACAACTGCCCTTGAAATTTTAGTTTTGTGGTTGTTGTAAGAGTTCACCGTCTTGGACATGGGAGGTCATGATGCATGATGACTACATTTGTTGCAGCAAAGACTGCGCTTCGTGGATAACAAGGTAGTTTTGGGGTATCGGGCAAATATGATAAGCACAAGTGGGTAGCTATAGGGTTATCCTCAAAGCAGCCGAAGGCCCCTTTGGTACTCAAATAGCAATGAATCGCCAAGAATGGTGTAATGTGATTAATTTCCACCTGCATTTGGTCCTATGGGGTTGAGTAAACGCTCTATAATGTGATGTTCTTGGCCCAACCGGAAGACCAGCCTGAACCAGCGCTGCATTGACGATTTAGCTCTGTACACGCGTCTTATTGCACACTGACCCAATAGGTAGAGGACCGGATGAAAGGCTGCCTTGAAAGATTATTTAAATCGATCACATGCGGATAATGGGGAAGCGGACAGAATTGTGCGGGTCTTGTGGGACAGGAGTGTGGGACGGGAGAGCTGAAGCAACCAGTTAGTATTTGACCAAGCCGTGACATTTGCTGTGGGACGGACCACAGAGGAAGCTTCTATCGCCGCGGGTGTCGTCAGGGGGTAAACGAAATTCGTCAATTTGCCAGTGGCATGATATATGTGCCTAGGGACACGCCTCATGCGAATCACTCTTCGTTAGCGACGTAATGAAGCGTGCAGAGTTGCAGGTTCTCCCGCGCAGAGACGGGTATATATTTTTGGGTGCTGCCCACATCAGTCATTATAGAACGTTTGGTATGTAATGGCCACACTCTTGAAGTAACTAGTTTCCTTGGTCTTGGGGCAAGCCGTATAAATATTCTTGGATGGCTTTGCCGAAGCAAAAATTTCGGAGGCCTGTGCAATCAAAATCTACGTAAATTAGCTTCCGAAGACGCTTTTGAGGGAGAAATATTTCGTACAACAACCTAGTGCATATTTCCTAGGTTTTACCGCTTACCGATAGGTAGACGGGACATATGAGTTTCAGACGTCAATGCAGGCCACGAATTGCTTTTGAGTTTCATGGACCTCCGCTGAAAGCGTTTCACTTCTGATTTCCCCTACCCCGGTTGCTGGGACTGCTAACACTGTCTGTTTTTTTCGGTTTTAAAACTGGAGGAACGTGAAACGGATAATTATCCAGCTTTCGGACGGTGGGAACTTCCATGACCTGGGCATGAGAAGAAAGTAAATAAGCGATGCTTTCAGTGTGCATGCAGTATAGACCACCGTTTCCTGGTACATTAGGTAGCCAGTGAGTGAACTCGTCTATTTCTACTTCTCTCTAACATTCGAATACCCTCCTTCTGATGCATCTCCGGTTGACGAAACTTCCCTCACAGGAATGGAGCTTGTCTTGGGAGTTTCCGATTCTGCATATTTTTGCTCCATCAAGGGAATATTTATTGGTGCAATGAAAAAAACTAATGGGTTTTCTTGCAATAGAAAGTTCAAGGGTTACTCGAGAGTCCAGTAAAACAACAGCCTCTTGATTGTTCACCTGTATTCACCATGCATGGTACCGATGCAGCATATAGTTCCTCCGCAGTGACAGTAAATTCCGTCTTTGGGGCTTATGTTTTTCACTCCAGGCGAGTAAAATGCATGGATATGAAAGGTATGGACCAATGTGCACATGAAAGGTTAAACTCAAGCTTCTCTTAACTTCTATAAAGCAATTTTGCTAGTTTAAAGTTTTCTTTTGCATCCGTTTTTTCTTTTTTTGCTTCCACAGAAGTTTCAACAAAGTTTCGACCAGTGAATGTCAGTGCAAGCCGGCATACAGGTAGCCCAGGTTTGATTCTGCGACCGGCCGCTAATCGGCGAGGCTTCTTCCGATTAGACGTAGACAGTGCACCGCGGCTTGGTGTGTGGCTGGTGATAGAATTCATCCAGCTCAATTTACGGAAGAAGGTGACTTTATCAAGCTCTATTTTAGTCAGAAGCACGTTTAAGATTTATGTGACTCTAACACGGTAGCGGCTAGTGGTTACGTTACTGGTGCTGTGTGAAGTGATTACTTCTTAAATGAGCCTACGTTTGAGGAGCGAACGGATGTGAGCATGGTTCCCTGGGGTCGAGGTGATCTTTTACCAAAAGATATGGACTTCACAAAACGTTAGACACGCAATACTACTTGCGTGAAGCAGCTTAAGTCTTCTTCTGTTAGTTTTATACGCTAGGCTTCTAATGCCCTTAGTTGCTTCCGGTGAACGAACCCAAGGTTTGAATAAAACTGCTGAAGACAGGGTGATTGATCCGGGTAATGAATTATGGTATGGGTCTTATTAGTCTGGAGTTAATCGTCTGCAATTTGTTCATTTAGGAGTGGCGTGCATCAAGCTTCAGAAATACTTGTTTTACGTCACTATCTCAACATTACTTGCGATGTTGAGGCCACCGGAGGTGAAATTCTACGCGGCGCGATCATCGCGTCCTCATCGAAGATAGCCGTGAAAACAGCAAGGAACAGCTTTATATCCTAATTGATTCGAAGCGATTAAAATATCCGTTGTGGTCTGTTCAAATAAGCACTGTCGATGAAGCAAGTTATATATATTCATGGGGATAAAAATGTTCATGTGGTGTGCCCACCTTTTGGCCCCATTAAGGTTGATGGAGCGGGAGCAAACTTCGCTGAATAAATGTTGGTTTTTGATTGGGAGATTTTTGGCTAGCAGCATATCCATTGACCATTTGAAAAGACTTTTTAATTCCCGGACGTAACTCTTTCTTGGCCCTTGACATATTTGGTGCTCTGTAGTTAAACCCAGTTTCCGCGTTATGTCCACCATGCATTATCTTGAACCCGAATTGTAAGCAATTCACGAACTGCACTCAGTTAGTTTTAACGAGGGATTAGGCTGAAAAACAGCGGAAAGTGCTGTATCGGTGACTGACCCAAGTTTTGGTAGGGAGAATTTTCCAACTATCACAGTGTGGCCTCTCGATGGAACTTACTCACGACCAGTGTATTTAGCTGGATTTTGGCCGGAACTTTCACT